TCCGCAGGAGGTTGGGTGGGGGGGCGATCAGGGCCAGATTGGGCTGGTTGGCCACCACAGTGCATGTCATAGTGACCAGTCATTCCACCGTTCGGTTGCTGGGCTTTTATATATATAGATAATTCATATACCAAACAGTTTTCCTACTTAAAGTGTATAGTTCAGTGGTTTTGAGGTATCACAGAGTTGTGCAACCATCACCACATTTAATTTTAAAACATTTTGATTATCCTATGGATACAAGAAACTATCCATTAGTGGTTACTCCACCTGTCACCATCTTCCCTAGTCCTAGGTAACTACTAATTTACTCTCTGTCTATATAGGTTTACCTGATCTGGACATTTCATATAATATGTGAATGTGATTATCATATAATATGTAGCCTTTGTGTCTGGCTCCTTTCACTTAGCATAATGTTTTCAAGATCCATCCATATAGTAGTATGTATCAGTACTTCATTCCTTTTTATAGCTGAATAATATTCCCTTATGTGGGTATTACACATTTTGTTCATGTATCAGTTGATGGACATTTGGATGGGTTCCACTTTTTGCCTATTGTGAATAATGCTGCTAGGAATATTTTTGGACAAGTTTTTGTATGGTCATATGTTTTCATTTTGCTTGGAGTAGAATTATTGCTGGGTTATATGGTAACTCTATGTTTAGCTTTATGAAGAACTACTAAACTTCCAAACCAGTGTATGAGAATTGCAATTTCTTCACATCCTTGCTAATATTTGCTATTATCTCTTATTGATTACTAGAGGCCCAGTTCACGACATTTGTCCACTGGGGGTGGGGAGGTGTCCCTCAGCCCGTCCTGCGCCCTCTCGCAGTCTGGGACCCCTTGGGGGATGTCCTTAGTACTCCGTGGAGGCGGGAGAGGCTTCTGCCATCGCCATTGCATTTGCCAGCTGTGAACCGGGCTTCTGGCTGAGCAGTGCTCCCCCTGTGGGAGCGCACTGACCACCAGGGGGCAGCTCCTGCATTGAGTGTCTGCCCCCTGGTGGTCAATGTGCGTCATAGTGACTGGTTGTTCCACCATTCAGTCGATTTGCATATTAGGGTTTTATTATATAGGATAGCCATCTAGTGAGTGTGAAATGGTGTTTCATTGTGGGTTTCTTCTTATTACAGCAGTCTTTTTTACATTTCTTGCAATGCTGGTTTGGTGGTGATAAACTCTTTTAGTTTTTGGGGGTTTTTTTTGTCTGGGAAACTATTTCACAATCTATTTTGAATGATAGCCTTGCTGGATATAGTAATCTTGGTTTCAGATCCTTGCTTTTATTACCTTGAATACTTCATTCCATTCCCTTCTGGCCTGTAGAGTTTCTGATGAGAAATCAGCTGAGAGCCTTATGGAAGCTCTTTTATAGGTAACAAACTGCTTTTCTCTTGCTGCCTTTAAGATTCTCTCATTGTCTTTCATTTTTGGCATTTTAATTATGATGTGTATGGGCGTGGGCCTGTTTGGGTTCTTGCTTGGGACTGTCTGTGACTCCTGAACTTGTGTGACATTTTCCTTCATCAGGTTAGGGAAGTTTTCTGCCATTATTTCTTCAAACAGGTTCTCTCTGCCTTGCTCACTATCTTCTCCTTCTGGCCCTTTTATGATGTGGATATTATTACATTTCATGCTTTCCCACAGCTCCTGTCCTCCTGCCAGATGTTATGTGGGCACCTTTCTCAGTTCTGGTGCTCTGGGCTGGGGAGTCCAGCTAATTTTTTTTTTTTGATTCTTTGATTTTTTTATACCCTGTCTTCTAATTTGCTGATCTGATCCTCAGCTTCCTCTAATCTGCTATTTATTCCTTCCAATATATTCTTTATTTCCGCTGTCATTCTTCATTTCCGAGTAGTCATTTTCAGACTTTCTATATCTTTTATCATGGTGTTGAGCATCCTTATAATCATTACTCTGAACTCTATATCTGATAAATTGTTTATCTCCATTTCATTTGGTTCTTCTTCTGGAGAATTCTCTTGTTCTTTTATTTGGGGCTTGGTTTTTTTTTTTTCCCCTTCCCCATTTTGGCTGCCTGTTTGGGTTTGTTTTTATGCATTAGGTAGATCTGCTACAACCCCCAGTCTTTTGGAGGGTCTCTGGTGCAGGCCAATATCAGACACTGTGACTGGCCCCGAGTACCCTGGTTGCAGCTATCAGTGCTCCACACCTTGTGGCTCCCTCTGCTGGGGCTGGGTGCCTTTGGAAAGGACCAAGATGTGCACCAAGGTCTGCTTTCCTAGTCTCCAGTCCAGAAGCAGATCAGGAAAAGACTCAAAGCACCAGAGATCCACCTCTGCCAGCAGGCTGATTGTTATTCTCAGCCTCTTAATGAGCTGCAGGCTGTAGACCACAGCAGGGAGTAAACTCCACAGGGTGGTGCCAGAGGTTTTCCAATGGGTGGGACAATTGCTTCCTCCCAGGCACAAGCTGCCTGGATGGGAAAGGTCTGCCTGAGAAAGATGTCCTCTGCAGTATGGGAGAATGACTCAGCACAGGGACCCAGGTCTCTGCCCTCCAAGCTCTATCTCCTGATCCCCCAACCCTGGATTCTTCTCACACCTCTAGTCTGTTAGGTTAGGTGGCTCAGGAGGCGGCGTAGGAAATAAAGAGAGTTGAGTCAATCAGAAAGGAAAGGTTTTATTCTGCGTCCCCAGGCGACCCACGGACCCCAAAGACAGGGCCAGTGGATTCGCGCCCACAGGGAGGGGGGGCTTTGTTTTATACTGCGGTTGGGTGAGGGGCAGGGACATGAACTGAGGAAGTTTCCGCCACAGGGGGTCGGCAGGGTATTCAGGAAGGAGTCAATATCTGTGTGGGGGTCGTGTGGATTCAGGGAGAAGCCGGTATCTGTGTCTGGCATGCTGATCTGTCAGAAATTCCAGTGGGGGTGGTCCATTATCTCATCACACATCTACATGTATCCGATCCTGGGCTCTCCAACCTAACATCCTGGCCTTTTGGTGATAGGGGACGCTGACTCGTTCTGACTGCTTCCAGCTGACCATGGATGACGAAGGGGGCGTTTAAAGGCCAGGGTCAGGCAGAGGCAGGTCAGAGGGGAGCCGAGTGTAGGGATGGAGCAGGAGCTGATTCACAGTCACCCGTGACATCTCCGCGATCCGGGAGTGGATGAACTTGAGGAGGCAGGGGTCTAGGAGAAAAAAGACACAGATGAGAATCAGGGGCCCTATCATGGGTAGGACCCAGGTAGCTAAGGGGCTTTGGGACCAGCCGAAAGGAGAGTTGTCCTGGGAGTGTCTTGCATGTAGTTTTTCATTCAGCTTAGTCAGGGTCTGTATGTTTTGCCCCACTACTCCGGACTCGTTGATGTAGTAGCAGCATTCTTCCTGAAGGAATATGCAGGTTCCTCCTCTTTCTGCAGTCAGAAGGTCTAAGGCGCGCCGGTTCTGTAGGGCTACTTGGGCTATTGATGTTATCTGTCGCTGTAGGGAAGCTAAAGAAGCAGTAGTGGACTCCAGGGCTAACTGGAGCTTGTCATTAAAGTCAGTGGTGCTGCATCCCTGTGCACAATCCCATAACCCGCAGGCGAAGTCCATGTAACGTACAACTCACCAGTTCAAGCGTACAGTCCGGGGGCGTTTGGTGTGTCCCCAATGAAAGGGCGAGATCTCAAACCTGCGGACACGCGGCCCCCGCCCTTCCCCGCATTCTCAGTGAAGGGGCGGGGACTGCGCCCTCCATCTTACCCTGGGTCCTCCATTTTTGGGCAGGGCCATGTGCTCGGCAAAGGCTTCTTCCCAGAAGAAGCCTCTGCTAGCCACACCCAGGATTTCTCTGGACTAACCAATGATAATCAAGGGAAGTGCACGCCATCACTATGACCACATCCTGTGTAATGAGACACCAACTCGCGCCTGGCTAATCGGCGGGGCACACAGTCCCCTCTCCTGCCCTTACTCCACCCCCCTATAAAACTCCTGGTCCCATCAGGCTTCTCTCTCTTGGCCACTTGGCTTGCCGTTGTGTTGGTGAGTGTGGTGGACGGGGAGCTCGAGCTAGCTTGAAATAAAGGACTCTTTGCTTTTGCATCGGACTGGCTGGCTCCCTGGTGGGCTCTTGGGAATCTTGAAATCTGGGCATAACAACCAGACTGTTCCCGAGGGCCCCCCGGTGAGGTCTATCGAGGTAGCTATACTCTCCCCTAACAGGACAGGGAGGAAGGCGGCCTGGTGGGCCCGGGGGTGGGATGGAGGGAGCAGCCAGGCGAGCTCTGACTCTCTATACAAGGTTAGTTGGGGAACTACTGTGACCACGAAGCAAGGCCCGGGGTCAGAGGAGTTCATGCAGTTGAAGGTACCCAGGCTGGCCTTGGTGACACTGGCTGCGGTGTGGTATTGGGTACAGTTTCAAGTGACTTGTCCCCCAGTTACTGGATTACTGGTCTGGTAGCATATCCGTGGGGGCAGGGTGGGCTCTGGAGTTTCGGGAGGCATCACGGACCTTGAACCTCCACACATAAGTGGGTGGGGTGGGTGTAGGTTGCTCAGGGCCAGGAGGAGAAGGAGGAGGGGAGGGTGGCTAAGGCGGACCTTAGTGGGGCCCAACGCCTCACATTTATAGAAGTCATGCTGCTCCAGGGTCCTCTTGAGTCTGGAGAGGTGATGCCATGACGGATCGCCGAATAGCTTGGCCTAGGTGGGGGTTGTAAGGATTAGTGTGAGGTCCCGGTGTGAGGTCCCGTCCACCTAGGCTCCAAGGCTTGTGGATGTAGGTTCTTAAGGAGGACCGAGTCACCAGGGTGAAGGGCTGGTCCTTGGGAGTCCTGGTCAGTTGGTTCTGGCTTGGGCAGAAACCTGTTCTCATGTTCTCAGAGCAATTGCCTGAAAGATAAGTACCCAGGGGAGGGGGATCAGTAAGGAGACGGTGGTTGAGCAAGAAGGGTCAAAAGGGCTCAAGAAGGTGGGGCTCCTTGGTGTAGCCCGGATTCTGGTCGGAGCCATGGTCAGGAGGTTCAGCCAGGAGCTGCGAATTTCTAGAGAGTTTAGTTAGGGGGTCCAATATGTTGGAATTGAGTGGCTATGATGAGGGTTCAAGCCAGTGACAGACAAATCCAGCAGGATGTAGAGGAGGAGGGATTGATGTTAGAGAGTAGATGGAAAGTTGTGTTGATGAGGGTGGGCATAGGAGTAGGTCCAGGGTTCGTAAATAGAGAGTGACACTAGAGGATTTCCCATCCCAGACAGTAGAATTGATGACTCCCTCATTATTCCATGTCTGTTTCACCTGAAAATATTAAAAACCTGAGCTTTTTCCGGAGTAAAAATTGGAGGGTCCCTTGCCAGGTAAGGGCCTGTGAGGAATGATGGGTCATCAGGTCCTGGATGGTGTCGCCGAATCTTCTTCAGGGATGGTGGGAGGCACTCGGTGAGCCTGAGAGAGGTAGGTATTGCAGTGAAAGTGGGAGGAATGTTAGAATGCGCTGTTATCCAAGGGAAAAGAGAAAGGGACGGAGCAGTGGAAGCCAGGGACCTGGATATGAGGCTGGAGAAAAGGCAGGGGGAGGGAGGGAGCAGGTCGCGCAGCCTGTTCCCAGGCCTCTAGCCACTTGGATTTTAAAACTGCCGCATTTTTTCCAGAGATAATGATCTCAGTTTCTGATAATAACCGGACTGTTGAATAAACCTGTGCATTCAAGGACGTTTCCTTTGGGAAGGGTGGAGGGGATGGGGCGAGAAGGCGCCGAGGTCAGAGTAGTTTTCAGAGCATTAAAGGGATGAGGATATTGGCCTTGGGATCTATGGGCTCAGTGAGGGGGGGTTCCTTTGCCATGTCATGTCATAGAAGAGGTTTGCAAGAAGACTACAGTTGTGAACCCGGAGGCAAGAGTACCCAGTGAGCCTGAAGAAGGAGAACATTTCTTGTTCAGAGGAGGGGACAGTCGTGGAGGAGATAAGGAGATAAGGCATTCACAGCGAGACTGAGGTAGGCGACTGTGGTCTGGGACAACAGGGCCCCATAACGGGACGCATGGCAGTGGGGAATCGGTGTCCCTGTGAAGGGAGGGGGCCAGGAGTGGAAGGAGCAGGGAGGCTGAAGGGCTCCGAGTGAGCCACAGAGTGGCCGCTAGGATGGTGAGGATATCTCGTCCTAACAGGGGCACGGGGCATGAAAACATGACTAAGAACAAATGGGTTATAGGGCTATCATGAAGGAGGCAGGGAAGGGGTCCGGTCGCCAGTGGGCAGGTGGATTTGCTATCAATACCCATGACTGAGCTCTTGGAAGGAAAAAGGGGCCCTAAAAAGGAGGGCAGGACAGAGAAGGCAGCCCCCGTGTTGATCAGGAAGGAGACCTGTTGCACCCGTTACCTTCATTGTGACCTGGGCTCGGCAACGGTGATTGGGGTCATCGAGTCGGGGCTTCAGCCAGTCCCAGCATGGCCAGCGGCGGATCGTGACCTGGAAGGGCGGCTCCTCCATGCTGGGGCACAGAGGGCCCGCCACTTTTCCAGGGGCAGTCACTCTTCCAGTGGCCGCTTAGGCCTCATGCCAGGCAGGGCTTGGTTGGATCCCGGGGCCGGGGGCACTGCTTTGCCCAGTGGCCTTCATTTCCGAATTTGAAGCATTCTCCAGGTGGCGTTCCTTTCGTTGCACCCCCACCGCGCACAGCCCCCTTGGGGCCATGGTGGCTGCCGTCGACCACAGGGCCGCAACCAAGGCGTGAGTTTGCAGGTCTACCTTCTGTCGAAGGCAGGCCTCCAAATTTGATTCTGCCTGCTCCTCACGGGCATTAACCTTAAAGGCCGTGTTCAGTCGATCTCGGACTAGGGTCTGAGGGCTATTAAGGACCTTAAAGTTCAGATTAAAAAGGTTTATGAAAGTTTACGGTAAAGGTGGTCAGGTCCGTGGAAAAGGACCTGAGATGCCTCTCAATCTGTGAGGCTGGATGTAGAGAGTGGGGGCATAGATTCAGACTATGCCCTCAGTCCCTGCTGCCTCCCTCAGGGGTAGAATGGGCGCAGAAATAGAAGACACTGTTTTGGAGCTAACGTTCTCAGGATTTGGGCTCTCAGGGATAGGGGAGAAGGCGGCTGCTGGTTAAGAGGGTCTGAAGAGAAAGAGCTGAGGCGTTTTTTTCAATTTGAGGAAGGTCAGAGTGAGAGAGAATGGCTACCTGGATAAAATCCTTCCCAGCTGCAACCTCTCGCAAAGGGAACTGGCCGGCCACCTGTGAATTAAATTGCTGGCAGTCATGGGGGCGGAGATTCGGCTGAGCGCAAAGAGGAAGGTGGGCGACTAGAATGAACATGAGCGCACAGGGGGAACACCGCAACCTCCCGGGGGCGGGGCAGAGGGGAGGAGGGACAGAAGGAAGGTGGGACCTGTGGACGAGTGTGTACCGACTCAGGAAGCAGGCAGGGGTGGGGGCGGGGGTTGTCGTCCGGTGACTTGAGTTTTCGGCTCCCGCAGTGGCTGCGGCGGTGGCTGGTGGCCGCAGACGGGCAGAAGAGGGGAGGCGGGATCAGCAGGTAATGGCGGAAGATGGGAGGCGGGATCAGTAGGTAATGGCGGAGAAGGCGTGGCTGGAGGAGGGTCTGGCAGGGAGGGAGGAGGAGAGAGTGTAGACGGACAGGGGCTCGAGGCCAGCGGGAGAATGGGCGGCTTTTGCCCGGGGAGTTCGAGGTGGTCTCTGGTGGAGCGGGGATGGGAGGACGCAGGGACAATGGTGGTGCCATCACCTCCCCCAAACACAGCACATGAACCCACCCCCCCACACACACCACACACACTGCGGGCTCGGTGGCGCACGGCGCAGCGCAGCAGCGCGGCCACAGCCCGGGGGGAGGAGGGAGGACGGGGTGAAGAGAGGAGGTGGAAGGAACTTTGGGTGAGGGGGATGGGGACGCAGATGGGGTGGAGAGAGAGAAAGAGAGACTTGGGCACATTTCCCGGTTCGCTGGCAGAAATTACTGAGATCGGTACGGACGGTAAAGTCAAGGTCCCATTTTCATACTGAGCCCATGCTATGTTACAGAAATAGGATGCAGGTCCGGGGCAGGCCCAGTGTTTAGCCAGATGGGCAAGCAGGCACCCTAGAAGTGTGCTCGGATCAATTTTGGAATTTGGATGCCTCGTGTTCAATGCCCGTGGCCTGTAGTGGGGCGAAAGGCTGGCGTCCCAGCGGTTTAACCCCGCTACGAACGGACAGAGGGATGCGGGGGGGGGGGGTAGAGATGTCTCTGCTACCTCTCCGAGGTCTGGAGGAACCTTCCTGGAAGGGTCCGGAAAGGCTATCTCTGACGCGGCTGCATTTTACGGACAGAAACGCCAGTGGGTGGGCAGCCACGAGGAACGGGCACGGGGTTGGGGCGGGACTCACCGCTGATGTTGCCAAACTGGGAAAGGGCTGCCAAGATGAAGAAACAAGGTCCTGAGGGGTCCTGGGCCATGAGGAGGAAGAGGCGGGCACCCCGAGCCGTGGAGGGACGGCCAAATGGGGTGCTCGTGCCACCCGGGTTTCAAGGCACCAAATGTTAGGTTAGGTGGCTCAGGAGGTGGCGTAGGAAATAAAGAGAGTTGAGTCAATCAGAAAAGAAAGAAAGGAAAGGTTTTATTCTGCGTCCCCAGGTGACCCACGGACCCCAAAGACAGGGCCAGTGGAATCGCGCCCACAGGGAGGGGGGGCTTTGTTTTATACTGCGGTTGGGTGAGGGGCGGGGACATGAACTGAGGAAGTTTCCGCCACAGGGGGTCGGCAGGGTATTCAGGAAGGAGTCAGTATCTGTGTGGGGATCGTGGGGATTCGGGGAGAAGCCGGTATCTGTGTCTGGCAGGCTGATCTGTCAGAAATTCCGGGGTGGGGGGTCCATTATCTCATCACACGTCTGCATGTATCCGATCCTGGGCTCTCTATGACCTAACATAGTCCATCTGCCCTCCCTCTGCTGGAGCCCAAGGCTGCACACGAAATGTGTGTTGGCCCACTAAGAGAGTGCCTGCATTTCCAGCCACCTCTCCCTGGCAGACAGCATCCCTGCTGCTTTTCACATCCAGATGTTACGTGGGCACCTTTCTCAGTTCTGATGCTCTGGGCTGGGGAGTCCAGCTTAGGCTTTAGACCCAGAGTTCTCAGTGGCAACCCCCCACAGCTGAGATGACCCTCCGGAACTCCACCAGTTCCCAGGGGTGCCTGGAAAGCCCTCTCACGCCTTCGCACTTCCTACCAGTCTCTATGTGGTCTCCATTTTATGTCCTTGGTTATATAAGGTTTCTCTCCAGCTAGTCTTCAGTTGGTTATTCAGGATGATTTTTCCATATTTCAGTTGTAATTCCAGTTTGGTCCTGAGGAAATGTCAGTGTAGCTTCCACTTAATCCACTGCCATCTTGGAATCACTTTTTTTAAAAAAAAGTTTTTTATTGATTTTATAGAGAGAGGAAGGGAGAGGGAGGGAGAGGGGTAGAACATTGATGAGAGAAAAACATGGGTCAGCTGTCTCCTGCGACCCCTATTGGGGATTGAGCTCCCAACCTGGGCATGTGCCCTGACTAGAAATTGAACCGGCAACCTCTTGGGGCATGGAATGACACTCAACCAACTATGCCACACCAGCTGGGCTCCTTGTAGTAGTTTTAAAAAAATTGATTGATTTTAGATAAAGAGAGGAAGGGAGAGAGAGAGAAACATCAATTTGTTCTTCCACTTATTTATGCATTCATTGGTTGCTCCTTGGATGTGTCCTGACTGGGGACCGAACTCACGATCTTGGTGTATCAGCATGATGCTCTAACCAAATGAGCTATCCAGTCAAGGCCCTCATTGTGGTTTTTTTTTATTATTATTATTGTTTGTTTGTATTTTTGTTAATTCTCACCTGAGGATGTTTTCCCATTGATTTTTAGAGAGAGTGGAAGAGAAAGGGAAAGACAGAGAGAAACATCGAAGTGAGAGAAACACATCGATTAGTTGCCTCCTGCATGTGCCCCGACCAGGGCCCAGGCTGGGGAGGAGCCTGCAACTAAGGTACATGCCCTTGACCAGAATTGAACCTGGGACCCTTTGGTCTGCAATCTGACACTCTATCCACTGAGCCAAACCAGCTAGGGCCCTCATTGAGGTTTTTATATACATTTCCCTAATGACTAATGATGCTCACTATCTTCATGTATTTTCTTTAGAGAAATGTTTATTCAAATCCTTTGCCCATTTCTTAATTGGGTTATTTGACATACACTCATTTATATTCTAAGTTACAAGTCTCATCAAATATATGATTTGTAAATATTTTCTCTCATTCTGTGGGTGTTACTGTATTAAGCTGCTGATTTGAAGTAATTTGTTTTACAGAAATAGATAACTAATGCATTAAATATGTACATATCTTACTTCAAAGCAGTTCCATCCATGCTGTAAAAAATGGTAAGATTTCATTCTTTTTTGTGGCTGAGTAATATTCTATTGTATGTATGTACCACTGCTTTTTCATCCACTTGTCTATTGATGGGCACTTGGGTTCCTTCCATATCTTGGCTATTGTGAATAATGAGAGCAGCATCATTTTTAAAGGAGAAGATATATATGTCTAACACACTAGACTAGGGTTTATGGGAGGGAACAGCATGGGGAACAGAAGGGAAAGGGAAACAAAGAGTGGCCTTGCCCGCCAGTGTGTCTCGGTGGTTGAGTCTTGACCTATCATGGTTTGATTCCCAGTCAGGGCGCATGCATGGGTTGTGGGCTTGATCTCTATTAGTGGGTGTGCAGGAGGCAGCTGATCAATGATTCTCTCTCATCATGGATGTTTCTATCCCTCTTTCTTCCTTCCTCTCTCTGAAATCAATAAAAACATTTTTTTAAAAAAGAGTGGCCTTGCATGGATGTAGTGTGCCCTGAACTCAGCTGTGTGATCAATTCAGCTGTCAGCACCTGAGGCCCTGAGCACAGCCCCAGAAGCAAGGTCTTGCGCTAATGGAATTGACATTTAGTACCTGTATTAGGGTGGGCTAAGCTGCTATGATAGCCTCCAAATGGACTGGCTTACCATAATGGCACAATAGGTTTTGTTTTTTTCCCCTCCTCACTCATGTAATGTCAGGTTGAGCCAGTAGGGGTTGGGGGATACTCTAATCCACTCAGTCATTTAGGGATGAGGCTGATGCCAATGTTAACATGGTCTCCAAGGTTGCTTTGGGCATTGCCTTTTTAGTGAGTTGAGCAGAGCTTGGAGGACGCATGGCAGATGTTATGGGCCAGCTCTAGAAGGGGCACACACTTCCATTCACCTTCTGTTGGCTGGAACTTAGTTGCATGGCTGCCCCTTAATTCAGGGGAGCAGGAGAAATGTAACGCACACCCAGGAAGAAGGGAGGAGTGGGTGTGGTTGGACAGCTGCTATCTCTGCTGCAGAGTGCACTCAGATTCCTGAAGTAAGGCTGTCCCCCAGCCAGGAGACAGACCTGGACTTGGAAATAACTTTGAGATCTGAAAATCTCAAAGGTACTCCATTTTCTAACTGGAGATTCTCAGCTGGAGTCTACCAAGACGGGCTGTCTCTTCCCTAATTGGCAGTGGCCGTCAGAGAGGAGTCGGGCAGAGAGATGAGGGGTAGACTGGACTTGTGTCTAGAAGCAGCATTTGTGAGATGGAGGGACTTTTAGGGAGGAAACAGCTCAGAAAAGAAATGTTAAGGTTCTACGTTCGCATGCGGCAGAGTTGGAACTAAAACCCAGTGTCTTGCCCTTTGACTCCTTGCTGTAAACTTTTAAAATGGCTCAAGATTACGACATGAGTGGTGAAACTGGTGAAATTTGATTAAAGTCCAGAGTTCAGTTTGTAGAAATATGCAATGTTAATCTTCTAGTTTTGATAAATGTAACCTAGTTATGTAAGATGTTAACAGACATGGAATTTGGGTGAAGAGCAATGAAACTGTCTGTGAAGCTGAGCCCGGGCCGGGAGGTAGCTGTCTCAAGAACTGGTTTGAGTTGTTAGGAGATGTGTGTCCTGAACTGTGCATTTTTGCACAGATTACTTGATCTGTTTCTTTCTCCTGGTTTCTTTTGAGTTCTGAGTCGTTGTTGGCATCAGCACTTTGGGAGCTGGCTTTCAGGCAGTGGGACTGGCCTGTAAAATAGGCGGAGAGATTCTGGGCCAGGCTGGAGCCGCGTTGTAGCTCTCCCATGACATGCTGTCCTTGCCACGTCTCTGACTGTGTCTGGGATTGACCCAGTCTCCGCCGTACCTATTGGCCTTTGACCAGCAGAGAACTTGTGTTTGCCTCACAGTTGATGCTGTTGACCTTGGGCTCGCACAGGTCCACCCTTTCAGAAAACAAGGCAGCAGGAGTCCGGTGGTGGCTCGGGCCTCAGCTGATGCCGTGGACCCAGACCCTTGGGAGGAGACGGAGCCGGCAGCGGGAGAGGAGTAAACCTCCGCCCCTGACAGTACCTTCAGCACCCTGTCAGCCAAGGACTTACAGTCACAGGGGACTCGAGCTTGTGAGCAGGGCCGTTTTCTCTCCTGTCTTTTCTTTTTATTTTTTTTTATTTTTATTTATTTATTTATTTTTATTTTTATTTTTTTTATTAAATCTTTATTGTTCAGATTATTACATTAGTTACTCTTTTTTCCCACCATAACTCCCCTCCACCTAGTTCCAACCCCACCCTCTGCCCTCACTCCCCACCCACTGTCCTCATCCATAGGTGCACGATTGTTGTCTAATCTCTTCACTCACCCCCAC